GACGGCCGGGGGCCGAGTGTGCGCGCGTGTGCGTGCGTGTGGCACGGCAGAGGGTGGGCGCACGGAGCTCGGGGGTGTGGGCGCGCCCCAGTGTGTGTCCTGTGTGCACAGGGCCTGGGATTCCCGGCCCGCAGTCCATACACCTGTTTCTGCTCGTGCTGGTGAGAGTGTGTGTGTCTGTGTGGACTTGCATGATGAGTGAGTCCTCGTGCACGTGTGAGGTGGGAGTGTAACGAGGTGTCAGCGTACCTATGTGTCTGTGTTTCTCGTGTGTGTCCAGTACACAAGGATCTTCTGTATCTCGTAGGTTCCTGTGTCCTGTGGATGGAACACAGAATTGGTAGGGCGTGAAGCCCCCCCCCCCCCGTCCTGGTATACCTTCATTAACATAACAAAAAGACAACAAAATGAAGGACCCTCTTTCCAAACAAAGTCACATGCGCAGGAAGTGGGGTTAGAACTTCAATACCTGTTTAGGGGTGGTTGTTGTTGGGTCCCACAGCTGACCCTGCGGTGGGTTCTCAGAGGCAGTAAACCGCTCGCACTGGGAAGAGATTGCCTATAATTCTCCCTGGGAGTAGCTGGTGGGTTGAAACCAAGTGCCATCAGGTTGGCGATACAGCTCCTTTCTACTAGGACACAGGAACTCCCTCTGTTTGGGGGAGAAGGGGTTACAATTCGGCCCCTAAGAGGGGACATGGGAATGAATGTGTGTGTCAATGTGTGCAGAGGTTTGTGCATGTGGGCGTGATTACTCAGATGCCCATAAGATAAGATATGTTTGATGGGTGGAGATGTGGGAGTGTGTTATCAAGATCACGGTTATCAAGAGAAGCCAGTCCTTGGAAAAGGACATGATGGCTGGGACAAGCGGAAGGTCAGAGGACAAAGAAGCCCCTGAACAAGATGAATTGACACAGTGATTGTGACAATAGGCTGGAGCATGTCAGAGATTGTGGGGTTGGTACAGAACAGGGCACGGTTCAGATCTGTCCTTCCCAGGGTCACTGTGAGTCATGGCTGACTCGACTGCACATAACAACGATGATGTTTTGTTTTTGTTTAAGGATCGGTGTTATGTAGGTGTCTGTGTTCTGAGGATGGGTATGTGTTAGAGAGAAATCATTTGGGTGTAAAAGAGTGTCTTTAAAGATCTCTGGGTGTGAGGGCATCAGGGTGTGTGCAGATGCAAATATTTTTAGTTTTCCCAGTGGATATATGGATTGAAATGGTGACTGTGGCAAGGGGCTTGAGTGTGTCAGAGATGGTGAGGATGGCACAGGACGGGACAGGGCCCAGCCTATGTATTGTTCGTAGGGTCGCTGCAGCTTGTATTCGACTCAGCTACACTTAACAACAACAACATGTGGGTGCCTTTAAATGCATCTACATGTCATGGAAGCCTTTTACATGTAAGCCGTTTACATGTGCATGTCATGAAGAAATGCGCCCAGTGTTTGAGCGTGTGCTCATTTGGGACCGAGACCACTTGGGCTGATAAATAAGTGATCGTGTGGCTGGAATGAGTGGCTTTGTCATTATCTTCTTGTGCCTTTCTGGTGTCTGTGGCACTTGCGTGTAGGTGGGAAGGTATTTATGTCTGATTGCATTTGCAGAGGAGTCTTTGGGTGTGACAATGGTTGTGTGTGTGTGACTGCTTCTAAGTGTCATTTTGTGTGTGAAAGTGTGATTCCACATGAGTGGAATAGTGGGTGTTGCCTTTGAGTCTAGCGTGAACCTGAGTGTGAGAGCATTTCAGCCGTAGACGTGGATATGCGCGGGTAAAGAGGTCTGCTTCTGAAAGCATATGCGAGAGTGGGCATGTGTATGTCTAATAATTCCATAGACGTGTGAGTAAGGGTATTAATTGGTGGAGTATTGATTTGACTGTATAGGTTCAGCATGGGAGTGTGTCTTAGTTTCCTAGGGCTGCCACAACAAAATACCACAAGCGTGGGACTCTTTGTTGCTGTTGTTGTTAAGTGCCAGCAAGTCAGTGCCAATTCATAGAGACCCTGCACACAGCAGAACGAAACCCTCACTGCTCCTGCTCCCTCCGCAAGTCTCTGATGCGAGCGGAAGCCACTGTTACGGCCACTGTGTCAGTCATTGGAGATCTCCATTTTCATTGACTCTCTCTACTTCCCCAAGTACAGAAGTTTCTTGTCTCCTGGTCTGGCAGCACAAAGCTGTGTCTCAGGGAGGCTCGTTCCCAGTTTCTGGGCTGTGCTGACATCCTGTGGCGTTCTTTTGCTTGTAGGCCCATTTTTACCTGGCTTCTCTTCCCCTTGTGTCTCCATCTCTCCTCTTTTTGTAAGAGCGCTCAGGAGTGGGACGCACTTGGCCTCACACTTCACATGACGTCATGTCTGGAAAAGTAGAGGGTCAGTGAGAGAGAGGAAGACCTTTAATAAGATGGGTTGACATGCTAACTGGGGCAGTGGGCTTGACCTGGCAGAGAGGATGAGGAGGGTGCAGCATCAGGAAGGGCTATCAGCTGTTGTTCGTAGGTTCACAAAGAGTGATAGCCCCCTCAGTGTTACCTAAAAACCACCTCACTCTATGGTCCTGTTAATCTTACAGTAGAAAACCCCTCTTTGCAAACACGGACAAATTTGCAGGCACAAAGGACGAGACTTCAAGACATTTCTGGGGGAAAGGCACTCAGTTCAAGCCACCGTGGAGTGTGACATATTTGTGTATACAAGAGTGCAGATATTTGTGTATGTAGGTGCAATTGTGCATGTGTCCCAGGGTATCATTGTCAATGTCCAAGCTCCTATTTTTATATATTTGTTTGGGACCCCTGTGCTCCATTGCATGTTTATGTTGAAACATCTGGTGTATCCCTTTGGCTGTGTGTAATGTAAACACGCAGGTGTTTATGTGCCCGTGTTTGTGAGTCTGTGTGCCTGGGTGTGTCCATCTGGGTGTCCTTGGGCACCCTTGGTAAGCGGACAGATGTGCCTGGGTTTTGTGGCACCTTCTGTGCATGTTGGCAAATTGGATCCATTTCTGGGTGTGTTTGTGCTGTTACAAAGTTACAAAGGCTGTTTCTATCTCTGTCTGCTGGTGCTTTGGAGGCCTTAGAACAGTGTAACCAGAATGCTTCTCCAAAGTGAGAATGGAGAGACTAGAACTTGCTTGGTTCAGACCTGCAATCAGGAAGGACCAATTGCCAGGAAAGGGCATAACATTTGGTGAATGTGGAGGGAGGGATTGTCACCTGTAAAAACAAGGGACCTTGGCCCAGTATGATGGACACGGACACAATGGGCACCACAATGGGGTCAAATACATCCAGGACCACATGCTTTCATTTCAGCACAAGTGTGCATGTGCGTGTCTTCTGGTGTGGCTACATCCTAGCGCCATCCAGGAAGAGAGCCAGGCAAGATTCTGTCCCTACCAGGCCTCGGTTTCCCCATGTGTGCCCAGCAGAGGAGCTGGGGCTCTGGTGCAGCACTGTGTGGGCTCCTTCTCTTAAACAAGCAAGACACTGTGAGTCATTGCAACTGAGAGCCACAGCACATACGTGTGTGAACGCAAACGTGGCCAGGTTCCGGCAAGGAAGTTTGGTGTGTGTCTGTTTGCTGAACAAACACTGAACGTCTGAACGTGTCTCTTCCATAGAGTGTATGTGTGTAGCTGTGTGGCAGATCTGCAGACATGACCATGTGTGTTTTGAATGGCTTTGTGAGTGTGTGAGTGTGTTTGTGTGCCTCTGGGGATGTTCACACTGGGTGTGAGTGAGTCTGGGCAGGTGAAAAAAGAATGGAGTTCAAAAGAATGGAATGTGAACTGGGGCATTTACAACTACAAGAGGGGTTCAGTACACACACGCGTGCACACACACTGTAGACAGCGTTTTTCTTGACATATGTCAAGTGTGGTGAGACCAAAAAAGGGCGCGTCAAGGCAGGCCTCTGAGCCCCCCAAACCGGAGTGTCTGTGCCGGAGCGCACCTCCGTGGGAATTACCATCCTTCTTAAACACTCATTGCCCTCCTGGGTTCGGGCGTGGGTCTCAAGATCTCGTGGGTCTCACTATGGGAGCAGCGAGGGGGGGGGGGGGGGGGTGGTGCACTGGGAAGGGAGGTGAGTCCACACCCTCATTGCGCCAGCGCAGGAGCGGGTGTGGCGCACAGAGGGGCCAGTGTGTCTGCATCCCAGGACATGTGTGCGCGTGTGTATGTGTGCATTGCGCTGCAGCTGTGTCCCTGCCCCCTCCAGGGATCGGGATGAGATTCTGTCCCTCCTGGGCCTCGCTTTCCCCATCGGCGCTGGCAAGAGGTTCGGAGACTCCTGGCCCAGGGAGGCAGCCCGCAGACTCCGCCCTCTTGTGAGCGCATCCTGCTTCACCCACGTGTGTTTGATCTTGCTGGGAGAGTTCCCATGACCTTTTTGGACCACAAAGGACAAATATCAAGGAAGGCGGTGTCTGCCACTCGCAAATACTCCGGGATGAATGATGGACACGCAGGCACATGCTTCGTCGCCCAGGGAGGGGGCCCACAAACTCACCCAGCCCGACTGGGAGGGGCTGGGGGCGTCCTGAGATGTCCGGACAGGAGCTGGGCAAAGTGCCCCCGCCCCAGGCGCCAGGAGCCTCCGGAGGCCCTGCCTCCACACCGGGCCAACTGGAACTCCTGGCTGGGCAAGGCTGCCCCGCCCACTCACGGGCTGGAACCGAGGTTCCACCTGT